GTACACAAACACACACACACACACACACATAAAATAAAATACAGTAAGCCTCTGTATGCATGGTTTCAAATCCATGGATTCAACCAACATGAAGGGAAAATATGCTTCTGTACTGAACACATAGAGACTTTTTTCTTGTCATTATTCCTAAATAATATAGTATAACAACTATTTACATAGCATTTGCATTGTATTAGGCATTACGAGTAACCTAGCAATGATTTAAATAAAGTATGTGGGAACCTGTGGGTATGTGATATGCAAATTTTATGCATTTTATTTGAGGGGCCCGAACATCTACAAATTTTGGTATTTTCAGGGATCATGGATCCAGTTCCCAGCAGATACAAAAAACCAAATCTGTATGTGTTTTGCCTATATTCATGTTATACATATATTTCTTTCTGTGGGATCTCATCAAAAAGTTTGAAAAATCCTTCTCTAGAGACAAATATCCATCATATTTGGAAAGTAGAAAGCACAGGCCAGAGATAATAGGCCTCACTGTAGATAAGCTTTGGGAAGCAAAACCTAGGAGAATGTTCTGGAGCATGGGGTATGGCCTAAAGATTTTTAGTGCAACGGATTTAGTAGGAGTCTTCAATGAGCAAGATGGTGGGGCCTGAGAAGGCCGACCCACCCAAGAAGGAAAGTAAATGCGTAATTGTATGTGTCACGTTGCTTATTTTTCATGCTTCCTTGGAAAACCCTAGGAAAGGTCTCTGTTATAAAACAGCTGTATAGTCCTTATTCTGCCTCTCAGGCCTTTTCCCATTTCTTTAGATCAGGGAGCAGAATGTGGGACAGCTGGTGGGGATGGCAGTACTTGTGTGCCATTTAAAATGCACACAGGAAGCAGGGGAAGGGAAGGAAGGGACAGCCCCACTTTGTTCTCTGTACTGCTAATCAAGGTCACTTATTCCAATGGTGGGAATTACATTTTAAAAATATTTTCTCCTGTGGAGGTGTAAAAGAAATGTTGAAAGGCCTTAGATAGGGAAATGTTCTCTCAAGTCCTATCAATGCTATCCATTGAAACTTCGCAGTGACATGAGTGTTCATCGTATGCCACCCAACATGGTAGCCACTAGCATCATGTGGGTATTGAGCATTAGAAATGTGGCTAGTAAGACTGAGAAGCTGATTTTAAATTAACTTATGTTTTAATTAAAGTTAAAATACAGAGACCCACATGTGGTTAGTTGCTACTGTATTGCGCAGGATATTTCTAACCTATTATAATTTTTCTTTGACACCAAAAAACTTGGGTATGAAGGATTAATTTTGTGACCCTCTATGTGCTGAGTTTTGTTCAAATTATTTGAGATAACTTTAAGTTTGAGAACGATTTGTTGCTAATTACATCAGCTAAAAGGAAGGAAATTTTCTGGAGTGGTTTAGTATTATTTTTGTTTAAACATTCAAAATCTATCCTTTTATTTATGGTTCTCAGGATCTTGGGTTATTTTAATTCTTTATTTCCTGAGATGAAAAGAAAGTATCAGTGAAACATAAGTGCACCTAGTTATAATGTTAAGCAAGTCATGATTTTTTTAAAAGTCTCTGTTTAATCAAATTTGATCACCTAGAAGAGAGGTCTACAACAATTTCTACTAAGCTTGAAAAGACAGAAATTTACTAGTTCCAAATGGGAGCTGAAGTAATGGTGTCACAGGCTATGTGAAGTGGAAAACTATTCAAACAAGCAAGGGGACTGCCGGGCTCAGTTAGGCCCTTTGGTGTGTGCATTTCTACATTTTGACTTGCAGTTCTTGTCTTTGTATCTCAGCCTTACGTGGTGCGCTGCCTGTTCAGTCATAGACTATGTGCCTGGCTGCTCACGTGCAGTCCAGGGAGAGGAGAGGGACTGTGGAAAATGAGAGCTGGAGTGTTGTGGCTCATCTCTTTCTTCACTGTCTTTAAGGGCCACTGCAGCTTCCTTGGGGTGAGTTGGCAAATGTTCATTTTTCTTTTCAATCATCTCTCCTCTCTCCTCTGGCAATTTTAGATTGGTTACTCTCCAGGCAACTGAAGCTGCATAATTTAATGGACTTGTAATCAGAAGTCCTGAGTTCTTGTCTCAACATTAACATTTACATATAGTGTCTTAGATAAGTTATTCCGTCTCTTTGGATCTCAGATGACCGAACCTGCGCAATGATCTTTGAAACCATCTTGGAAAACTTGTCTAGTTCAAACACTCTCTAGTGTGGCTTTTTGGACACACAAAAAAGCATATGGATTGACATGAGCAGTGTTTGAACCCTCTCCTTTATCTCAACTCCCTTTCTGATGCTTTTTTCCAGGACCAAGGTTTGAATGATTTCTGCCTGCTGATGACTCTCAAATGTGTATCTCCATCTCAGACGTTTCCCCCGAACCCCCCCCCCCCCCATAACACACACCCCATATCCACTTGCTATCTCTAGCTGAGCACCCAAAGTGTTCTCAACTTCATGTATCTAAATCAAATTCTTGATTTTATCTCACTAAACTGATTCCTCCTTTGCTGTCTCAGCAGGTGGTATCACTTCTCCAGCTGCTTAGGCAAAAAACATGGTGTCATGTGTGATGGTTCTCATATTCCGTATCTAAATCATTTGCTTTATCTTTAAGATACATCCAGACCCAAACACTTCTCACTGTCTCCATGACTCAACCTTATTCCACACCCTCTTTATCTCTCCCTTGTGTTGTTTCAAGAACCCCTGAAATGCTCTCATTGCACATTTGCTTGTTTATTTCCAATGTGATGTAAGGATTGAGGCTTCCAAAAAGTAAATTAAAGCATGTTCAAAACTCTCCATCTCCCACTCAAGTAAAAGGTAAAACCCTTTCTGCAGCCGGTAAAGCTCAACACAACCTGCCTGCCCAGAGTTCTAAACTCATCTCCTCCTCCTCTCCTCTCACTTGCCCCCCTCAGCTGCTCTTTCATCTGGGCTTTGCCTTTACACATCAGGCATAGTCCTATCCCTGGCCTGTGCACTTGTTTTCCCTCTGCCAGGAGAGCTGTTTCTCCAAGGGTTGACACTTCCTCACCTGATTTAGGTCTTTGCTCAAATTCATCTCCAGGGCAACTTTTCCACCATGCTTGGCTTAGATTTTAGATTCAAGATTTTAATTCATCTGGGAAACTCAAACCCTTATGATGTTCAACTTTCTAAAGCCTTACCATAACCATCTTTTCTCCCTCTTCTTTTTAACAGAGAAATGATGGCATCAAAACAAAAAGAGTACTCAGTGTGGAAAAGGCAGGTAAGACTCCATAGCCTGGTATAGTGGGCTTCAGTTCCAAGATAACAGAGTTATAACCCCAGCAGTGCCTCTGACTGGTTGCATGATCTTAGGCACATTACAAAATAGTTCATGCCTGTGAAATGAGAATAACGGTAATTCCTAAGAGCAAGATATCTGTGATGATTAAATGATGTAATAAAAATATGTATCTTGTGCCATTCCTGGGGCAAATTGCAGCTCCATATGCTTCCTTTTCTTCTATGCCTTAGTCCTAGTGATGTAATTCATGGTTACAACCCTCAGGCTAATAATGGGTTGTATTCTGAAATTTAATTCACAGATCTGATGTTTCAAGCACAGAATGTATTTCCTTATACAAATGGTGATCTACATAGATAATAATAAGTTTCCTGGGTCAGTCCACAAAAATTTTTCAACCATGCAATGAATTTGCTATACAATAATGTGCTAATAGTACCATAGAATGTACCACCACAACACACTACATTTCTTTAGGAGAATGAAATACAAATTTCAACTTGGAATGCTGCGAATACATTTTTCCTGACAGTAGAAATGCCAGAAAAAATATTGAGTTGTTATTATTTGTCAAACACTATTTTAAGTACTTTAATCCTCACACCAGTCCCCCTAGTGAAGTAAGACTATTATCTATATTTTACTGTGTTAGTCAGGTTTTTGTCATTGTGACCAAGACACCCGACAAGAGCAACTTAGAGGAGGAAATCTTTATGATGGCTTATGATTTCAGAGGTTCAGTTCCTCATCAGCGGACTCCATTACTCTGGGCCCAAGGTGAGGCAAAATGTCATGGTGGAAGGACATGGTGGAAGAAAGTTGCCTACCTTTTGGCAGCTATGAAGAAGAGAGAGAGAGAGAGAGAACAAAATGAGCCAGGAACAAAATATAATCCCCATCCCAGTGACCTACTTCTTCTAGACATACCCCCCTGAGTAAAATTACCACCCAGTAACTCATTCAAATTATTAATCCATTAAATGGATTAATCCAGATTAGGATACAAATCTCTTAATCATTACACCTCTTCTAAATATTCTAAACATTTATGCATTGCCACACAAACTTTTCAGGAGGACATCTCACATCCAATGTACAACATTACAGTTAGTGAATTGAAGGCACAGAGATAGAAACTGTAAGTAGGATTTGAACCCTGTTAATCTGGGTCCAGAACCATTACCTTTAACCATTGACAGTGTGACCAGCATCATTTTTTCCCCTGTTCTCACCTCTTGGGAGGAGATTCAAGCCTTTAAAGAGATAGGTAGTATATGAGAAATAGCTGAGATGATCTCTGAGTCATCCATAGATGAGCCACAGAAATTTCAGAACAAGTTTTATGTGAATGTGCCAAAATGAATTTGGAGTGGGAGAAGACTTCTGGAATTCATCTTCTCTCTCAGTCAGTCGAAAACACTAGAAAGCTCACATTAGTCCCCAGAGTTAGGTACAATGGTCATCTTTATTTTACAGATAGAGAAGCTAAGGCACAGAGATAGGGACTATAGGAAGGATTCAAACCTAGACAATCTGGCTCGAGAAACAGCACATACAAAGATCCAAGGATGAAAATATATCTGGGTGCAAGGGTGAAAATATGTGAAGGCAGAGTGAGGACACCAGAAACAAAAAGTGTAGCAGATCTGCCCTTGCAGAAAGAAACTTTCTAATTCCAGAAATAACTAGCTGGAGATAAGGATACACAAAAACTAGAGTCAAGGTTTAGTTTTGTTTTGCTTTTTTATTTCATGTAAATATTCAAAATTCAGCTAATTATTGAAACATTCTTACAGGAGAAGAAATTGTTCCTTGAAAAGTGGGAGATTGGAGGATTTTCTGTTAGAGCTACTTCAAGGAGACCAGGGCTGAGAGAGGAGGAGGGAATAATGAGTAGGATTTTCTCATTCTTCTCCCTTCAGTCTGGATGAGACAGAGGACACTGGAACCATTGACCTGGCAGAAGTGAGAGGAGAGACACATATTAGGCATGTGTGGAAATGAACTGTTTGTGTTCACTCTGGATGTTCATGTTCAGTCTGTGTCTGGATGAGCAGAACTCAGTAACAAGCATCATGGTTCAGCTTGTGACCTCTAAATAGAATCTGTTGACTGCTTCTGAGCTACTTCCTCAGCAGTCTTCCCCCAGCAAAGCCAGAGACTGCTAACTGACAATCTTTCTGTTTAGTCCCAGATCAGGAATATGAGCTGTTACTTCAGGTGACCTACAGAGATTCCAAAGAGAAAAGAGACTTGGAGAGTCTTCTGAAGCAACTGAAGGCTCCATCGACATGCTTGTCAGCGCCAATGGAGATCATCAGGGTGAAGACCACAACGTGTAAGTCCCCTCTGGTGACTGAGAGTGTAAGTGTGGAAGGTGAGCTCATCAGCCAGGGTAAGTTAGGTTATGCTGTGGAAACAATCATCCCCACAATCTCCATAGCATTAAAGAACAAAGGTTAGATTTCTTCTTCATGTTTTATGTTCTTGCAAGTTGGAAGAGGGGCCATGTCTGTGGTCATTGCTCAGGTACCTAGACTAAATGAATCAGGCCTTATGGCAAATATATTCATTCTGAGACAAAAAGAAATGGAATACTAGAAAGTCTCACATAGGAAATCTTTGACTTAGAAGTGACATATACTAATTTTGTTCCCAATATATTGACCAGAACTGGTTCTATAGCTTCACCCAATCTCAGGCCAAGATGTGAAATCCTTCCCTGTGCATAGAAGATAGCGAGAAATTTGGCAAACAGCACTAATAATCACAAAAGTGGGGTTCAGAGAAATTGAATGGCTTGTCTAGAGCAGTGATTCCCAAAGTGTGGTGCTCAGACAAGCAGGAGCAACATCAGCATCACCATCAGGAAACTTAATAGAAATTAAATTCTTGACTCCATTTCGGGTGTACTGAACCAGAAACTCTGGAGTGAGACCCTCCAGGGGAATTTTTTTGTGCTTGATAAAGTTTAAGAACCACTCACTGAATATCTCCAGTGAACCATTCATTGCATGCCACTGTGCATGTTTTCACAAAAGTAGCTGGTGACTTTGTCCCTGTCCCTTTGTTAGCCTATTAAAAATAATGATTTTGGTCCAATACAAAAGTATGAACATACAGGATTGGCTAATGGAACTTTTCATCATGGCTCCCCCCAAATAGTTTCTACCTTTGCCATCCTACTTTTAGGGCACCTTGGAGTGGTAGCTTGTGGAAGAAGGGGAACTCCAATTAGAGAGTGGTCAAGTGCCCTTTAGAATCTTTCAAATATCTCCCATGTTACAAATATACTCTTCTGCTTCTTTCTTCCATTGCAATGGATATTTATGGGGCATACATCCTTCTTTTGGATGCTAAGACCAGCCATGCTAGTTTTATGTTTGGTAGGTTTCCACTACTAACCTTGGACTCTACTGAGGTGGACATTTCCTTAACTTAAACATATCACCATCTTGATTTTGTCTTTCTAGCTCTTGGTGAGATATACTTGCTTCAGATTCCAAGTCAGTGTCAAGGATCAGAACTTGGCAGTAGTCAGCTTATAGATGAGGCTTTGTGAGACCAAGTTCTGTTTTTTGTGCAGACTGTAGCAGCCTGAATGGGATCCTACAGTGTGCCTGCGAAGACAGCCACACCTGGTTTCCTCCCTCGTGCCTCGATCCCCAGCACTGCTATCTTCACACAACTGGATCTCTCCCAAGCTGTGAATGTCACTTCAGCAACCTCAGCCAGAGCATCAATTTCTGTGAGAGAGCAAGTAAGCACATTGGAGTTCATTGAACTTCTGGGCATCACCCAATTAAAGGGAAGGTACTCTGGCCCTTCACCTCACTGAGGAGAGTTACTACTTAGAGGGAGATTGGAAGATGATGGCCGTGTGCTTTTTATCCTTGTCTACAGCCAGTCAGAGCTCCATAAGTGCAGGAGATACAGAAATGCAAGTTGACATTTGGGTGTCATTTCAACATCTAGGTACATCTAGCTCAGCTCTGCAACTGTATGATTCTATTAAGATTTAAAGAGAGCCCCTAAAATTCCAAGTAGGCAACTGTTTGAGTCACCAACATTTTTCTTCCTACTTTCTTTTCACTCCTTTGCCAACATCAGTTCTAGTGATGTGAATGCAGGGAAGAACACATGCATAATGATTATGTTGAAAGAACTCTGAGTTGCCAACAAATATGTGTGCTGAGTGCATTAAAAGAAGAAGGAAAGGCAAGCAGGCAGATGTTAAAAATTTAGCTCTGGAAAATTGTTGCTTTAGGATGATTTTCAATGAATGTTGAGATGAACCAAATGATATGGACTCCAGTGCTTAAAGAAATTTAAGAAGCTTCCCCAAAGACTACTCTGGTCATCTTGAAGCTCTGGATTCTAGTTGAGCTCAGGAAAGACTGAGAGAGGAGTCTGAAGTAACTGGGCATCCATGGTTTTCCTTCCCATGACCAAGTTAAGTTATAACAATGTGCATGTATTAAGTGCCATCTTTATGTCCAGTTCTAGAGGACACACAAGTGTTTTTTTTTTTTTTTTTTTTTGCTATTTATGAATTATCAGGCTATTTGGGGAGGCCAGGCGATGATACAAGAAAGGAAATGATATAATTTCTTCAGTGAATATAGATAGAAGCCTACCTTTTCTAAGATGGTCCATATCTGGTCCATCTTCAAGAAATACAAAGATGGATCGAAAGGGTATTACATTCCTAAGGGTCTTCCCATAGTATTGTGGGGATGTGTATAGATGAGACACATATGTAGATATTTTGGTACAAGAGGCTGTAAGGGAGGTATGGAAAAAAATTCTGTAGGAATTCACAGGTAGAAAAGACATCACATCTGGGGCCTAGGAAAGGGTTTGCAGAAGAGCTGACATTGGACTAGGTCCCAGTTGAAGGAAAAACAGGATTTGTGTATTCAGAGAGCTGTCCCAGTGCAAAGGAATACTAACAATGGGCAAGTAAGCAAGGAGTGTGTCAGGGTTAGCCAGAAGTGCTTTAAAAAGTTTTGATGGGGCAATGCTTAAGCTCAATGCCTAGATGAGGATTTGTTTATTTCAGAATTCAGTGACTATCTTTTCTATCCACCTGTGAATGGTCATACATTTATCTACTTCGAAGGTTGTCTTGATGACCAGCAGTTTCCCATTACTGTTGAAAATACACAGTTTGAAAACTCTGGTTTTATATGTTTTCTATTATTTAGTGAATATTTATCATAAAATAATTGAAATACCACTGGTGATAAGATGTTTTCTTGAGTTACACTTTTATAATTTTATGCGGCTAATAAAATCAAGTTAGAAACTCATTATCTAAAAATTTCTTTCTATTTCTCATAGAGATTTGGGGCACTTTCCAAATTAATGAAAAATTTACAAAAGACCTTTTAAATTCATCTTCTGCTAAATACTCCAAATATACAACTGCCATTAAAGATAAAGTAAGCACATTTTACTTATTGCATACGAATTGTTCACTAAATGCTAACTCAGATATTTTCAATTCAGCATATATATTTAAATACATTTTTAAAAAGATTTCACTGAGTTATTACAGAGAAAATATTTGCTGCGCTCACAGTTGGCATTCCTTGATCATTTTTTTCCCCTAGGATAGTTTGTCAGTTGACTTGCTCATGTGTTCAGTTTTGCTCACTTACTTGAACATTTACACTAAGGATTCTTGGTAATTTTCTGATTTTCATGTGTCAAAAGAAAATTTTTACAACCTAAGTTCAATTGTCAGCATTGTGGATTCTTCCATAAAAAAGGCTCTCTTGTTGGAGGCCAAAGCGAGTTACCGAGCAAAACTCTGGGCTTCATAATGAAGTCACATGAAAACCAGATCCATCGTTGCCCCTCTGCCTGAGACTGTGGCCCAGGTGTGGTTCATGAAGACATGAACAAATGGATTCAGTTTAAAGACCTATGAAAATTAAATGGCTTGATTTTGATATGGATAAAATAGATTTGGGGTAAATTTATTTGGTACCAAATCCATACACTATTCTAAGCAGTTGGTTATTCACTCTTTAGTAGTGATCTTGAAAATAAATTTTACGAGTTTCTATGTCTGCATGTGTGTGTATGTATGTGTATATTCCCAACTGTGATTTTAACTGTATTTGTTATGACCTACAACCATTTCCCACAGTACCTCTTTCCTTTGCTTATTTGCTATTTTTTATTTACTTATCTTCTGCAGCCATTTTTGTTCAAATGTCTTTCTGAAGTGCAAGGACAAAGATTAACACATTGCCTTTTGTTTTCTTTCTAAGCTTACAGAAGTATACAAAGAAATTCAAGGTTTTGAGTCAGTGGAGGTTACCCAATTTCGGTAAGTAGCACAATGTCCTTAGAAGGGCATCTCCAGAGCTGTGTACCAGTCCTGCTGAATGACATGTGCTATTCCCAGGTGACCTTGATAGAAAACAGGGCAGAGCTAGTCTTCCTACTAGGGTTCTTACTCTGATGCTTTCAAAGTTCTGAAGAGGAAAGTCTAGATTCTCCTTTAAGTGAATTTAGAAACTTCAACATTGAAGAACATTTTCAAAACTGTGGTTCAGGAGTAGAGCTATAAAAACACACCTTGGAAGGAAACAGGAGCATGCATGTCCAGGAAGGGGCGAGGGTGGGGAGGAGGGGTGAGGGTTGTAGAGGGATGGATTTTTTCCTCCCACAGCCACAAGGGACATGATGCTGTATGATTCAGAGCCACAGGGCAGGGACGGGGGGGGGGACTTGGGTGAAATATTATCTTTTTGTGTAGATGTCACAATATATCACAATTCAGAATCCAGTAGTCATTGTCTATAGCAAATAAAAAGATATTTAGTAAATTATCCTTTTGTTTATGCTTTAACTCCAAAAGTTATTTGCTTAGTTAACCATGTGTACATTGATTGCCAACTATTAATAGTGTGCTTAATAGAGGAAATAGCTTAGAGGTCAGA